AAGAACAAGGGCCTAGCGTGTGCAAAATAAAAAGAACAAGGGTCTAGCATGAGCAAAATTGCAAGAACAATGGCCTAGCGTGTGCAAAATAAAAAGAAAAAGGGCATAGCATGTGCAAAAAAAAAAGAACAAGGTCCTAGCATATGCAAAATAAAAAGAACAAAGGCCTAGCGTGTGCAAAATAGCAAGAACAAGGGCCTAGCGTGTGCAAAATTGCAAGAACAAGGGCCTAGCGTGTGCAAAATTGCAAGAATATGGGTCTAGCATGTGCAAAATAGCAAGAACAAGGGCCTAGCGTGTGCAAAATTGCAAGAACAAGGGTCTAGCGTGTGCAAAATAGCAAGAACAAGGGCCTAGCGTGTGCAAAATAAAAAGAACAAGGGCCTAGCGTGTGCAAAAAATCAAGAACAAGGGCCTAGCGTTCGCGAAATAGCAAGAACAAGGGCCTAGCGTATGCAAGATTGCAAGAACAAGGGCCTAGCGAGTGCAAAATAGCAAGAGCAAGGGCCTAGCGTGTGCAAAAAATCAAGAACAAGGGCCTAGCGTTCGCGAAATAGCAAGAACAAGTGCCTAGCGTGTGCAAAATAAAAAGAACAAGGGTCTAGCATGTGCAAAATTACAAGAACAAGGGCCTAGCGTGTGCAAAAAATCAAGAACAAGGGCCTAGCGTTCGCGAAATAGCAAGAACAAGGGCCTAGCGTTTGCAAAATTGCAAGAACAAGGGCCTAGTATGTGCAAAATGGCAAGAAAGAGGGCCTAGCGTGTGCAAAATCGCAAGAACAAGGGTCTAGCGAGTGCAAGATTGCAAGAACAAGGGCCTAGCGTGTGCAAAATAAAAAGAACAAGGGCATAGCGTGTGCAAAATAGCAAGAACAAAGGCCTAGCGTGTGCAAAATAAAAAGAACAAGGGCCTAGCGTGTGCAAAATAAAAAGAAAAACGGCCTAGCGTGTGCAAAATAGCAAGAACAAGGGCCTAGAGTGTGAAGAATTGGAAGAACAAGGGCCTATTGAGTGGAAATTGCAAGAGCAAGGGCCTAGCGTGTGCAAAAAATCAAGAACAAGGGCCTAGCGTTCGCGAAATAGCAAGAACAAGGGCCTAGCGTGTGCAAAATAAAAAGAACAAGGGTCTAGCATGTGCAAAATAAAAAGAACAAGGGCCTAGCGTGTGCAAAATAAAAAGAACAAGGGCATAGCGTGTGCAAAATAGCAAGAACAAGGGCCTAGCGTGTGCAAAATAAAAATAACAAGAGCCTAGCGTGTGCAAAATAAAAACAACAAGGGCCTAGCGTGTGCAAAATTGAAAGAACAAGGGCCTAGCGTGTGCAAAATAGCAAGAGCAATGGCCTAGCATGTGCAAAAAATCAAGAACAAGGGCCTAGCGTTCGCGAAATAGCAAGAGCAAGGGCCTAGCGTATGCAAAATAAAAAGAACAAGGGTCTAGCATGTGCAAAATTGCAAGAACAAGGGCCTAGCGTGTGCAAAATAAAAAGAACTAGGGCATAGCATGTGCAAAATAGCAAGAACAAGGGCCTAGCGTGTGCAAAAAATCAAGAACAAGGGCCTAGCGTTCGTAAAATAGCAAGAACAAGGGCCTAGCGTGTGCAAAATAGCAAGAACAAGGGGCCTAACGTGTGCAAAATAAAAAGAACAAGGGCCTAGCGTGTGCAAAATAAAAAGAACAAGGGCCTAGCGTGTGAAAAATAAAAAGAACAAGGGCCTAGCGTGTGCAAAATTGCAAGAACAAGGGCCTAGCGTGTGCAAAATTGCAAGAACAGGGGCCTAGCGAGTGCAAAATAGCAAGAGCAAGGGCCTAGCGTGTGCAAAAAATCAAGAACAAAGGCCTAGCGTTCGCGAAATAGCAGAAGCAAGGGCCTAGCGTGTGCAAAATAAAAAGAACAAGGGTCTAGCATGTGCAAAATTGCAAGAACAAGGGCCCAGCGTGTGCAAAATAAAAAGAACAAGGGCATAGCGTGTGCAAAATAGCAAGAACAAGGGCCTAGCGCATGCAAAATAAAAAGAACAAGGGCCTAGCGTGTGCAAAAAAAAAAGAACAAGGGCCTAGCTTGTCCAAAATTGCAAGAACATGGGCCTAGCGTATGCAAAATTGCAAGAACAAGGGCCTAGCGAGTGCAAAATAGCAAGAGCAAGGGCCAAGTGTGTGCAAAAAATCAAGAACAAGGGCCTAGCGTTCGCGAAATAGCAAGAGCAAGGGCCTAGTGTGTGCAATATAGAAAGAACAAGGGTCTAGCATGTGTAAAATTACAAGAACAAGGGCCTAGCATGTGCAAAATAAAAAGAACTAGGGCATAGCGTGTGCAAAATAGCAAGAACAAGGGCCTAGCGTGTGCAAAATAAAAAGAACAAGGGCCTAGCGTGTGCAAAGTAAAAAGAACAAGGGCCTAGCGTGTGCAAAATTGCAAGAACAAGGGCCTAGCGTGTGCAAAATTGCAAGAACAAGGGCCTAGCGAGTGCAAAATAGCAAGAGCAAGGGCCTAGCGTGTGCAAAAAATCAAGAACAAGGGCCTAGCGTTCGCGAAATAGCAAGAACAAGGGCCTAGCGTGTGCAAAATTGCAAGAACAAGGGTCTAGCGAGTGCAGAATTGCAAGAACAAGGGCCTAGCGTCTGCAAAATAAAAAGAACAAGGGCATAGCGTGCGAAATAGCAAGAACGAGGGCCTAGTGTGTGCAAAATCAAAAGAACAAGCGCCTAGCGTGTGCAAAATAAAAAGAACAAGGGCCTAGCGTGTGCAAAAATAAAAGAACAAGGGCCTAGCTTGTGCAAAATTGCAACAACAAGGGCCTAGCGTATGCAAAATTGCAAGAACAAGGGCCTAGCGAGTGCAAAATAGCAAGAGCAAGGGCCTAGCGTGTGCAAAAAATCAAGAACAAGGGCCTAGCGTTCGCGAAATAGCAAGAGCAAGGGCCTAGTGTGTGCAATATAAAAAGAACAAGGGTCTAGCATGTGTAAAATTACAAGAACAAGGGCCTAGCGTGTGCAAAATAAAAAGAACTAGGGCATAGCGTGTGCAAAATAGCAAGAACAAGGGCCTCGCGTGTGAAAAATAAAAAGAACAAGGGCCTAGCGTGTGCAAAAAATCAAGAACAAGGGCCTAGCGTTCGCGAAATAGCAAGAACAAGGGCCTAGCGTGTGCAAAATTGCAAGAACAAGGGCCTAGCGAGTGCAAAATAGCAAGAGCAAGGTCCTAGCGTGTGCAAAAAATCAAGAACAAGGGCCTAGCGTTCGCGAAATAGCAAAAACAAGTGCCTAGCGTGTGCAAAATAAAAAGAACAAGGGCATAGCGTGTGCAAAATAGAAGAACAAAGGCCTAGCGTGTGCAAAATAAAAAGAACAAGGGCCTAGCGTGTGCAAAATAAAAAGAAAAAGGGCCTAGCGTGTGCAAAATAGCAAGAACAAGGGCCTAGAGTGTGCAGAATTGGAAGAACAAGGGCCTAGCGAGTGCAAATTGCAAGAGCAAGGGCCTAGCGTGTGCAAAAAATCAAGAACAAGGGCCTAGCGTTCGCGAAATAGCAAGAACAAGGGCCTAGCATGTGCAAAATAAAAAGAACAAGGGTCTAGCATGTGCAAAATAAAAAGCACAAGGGCCTAGCGTGTGCAAAATAAAAAGAACAAGGGCATAGCATGTGCAAAATAGCAAGAACAAGGGCCTAGCCTGTGCAAAAAATCAAGAACAAGGGCCTAGCGTTCGTAAAATAGCAAGAACAAGGGCCTAGCGTGTGCAAAATAGCAAGAACAAGGGGCCTAACGTGTGCAAAATAAAAAGAACAAGGGCCTAGCGTGTGCAAAAAAAAAAAGAACAAGGGCCTAGCGTGTAAAAAATAAAAAGAACAAGGGCCTAGCGTGTGCAAAATTGCAAGAACCAGGGCCTAGTGTGTGCAAAATTGCAAGAACAGGGGCCTAGCGAGTGCAAAATAGCAAGAGCAAGGGCCTAGCGTGTGCAAAAAATCAAGAACAAGGGCCTAGCGTTCGCGAAATAGCAAGAACAAGGGCCTAGCGTTTGCAAAATTGCAAAAACAAGGGCCTAGTATGTGCAAAATGGCAAGAACAAGGGCCTAGCGTGTGCAAAATCGCAAGAACAAGGGTCTAGCGAGTGCAAGATTGCAAGAACAAGGGCCTAGCGTGTGCAAAATAAAAACAACAAGGGCATAACGTGTGCAAAATAGCAAGAACAAGGGCCCAGCGTGTGCAAAATAAAAAGAACAAGGGCCTAGCGTGTGCAAAATAAAAAGAACAAGGGCCTTGCGTGTGCAAAATAGCAAGAACAAGGGCCTAGAGTGTGCAAAATTGCAAAAACAAGGGCCTAGTATGTGCAAAATGGCAAGAACAAGGGCCTAGCGTGTGCAAAATCGCAAGAACAAGGGCCTACAAGTGCTGAATAAAAAGAACAAGGGCCTAGCGTGTGCAAAATTGCAAGAACAAGGGCCTAGCGTGTGCAAAATTGCAAGGACAAGGGCCTAGCGAGTGCAAAATAGCAAGAGCAAGGGCCTAGCGTGTGCAAAAAAAAAGGAACAAGGGCCTAGCGTTCGCAAAATAGCAAGAACAAGGGCCTAGCGTGTGCAAAATTGCAAGAACAAGGGTCCTGCGTGTGCAAAATTGCAAGAACAAGGGCATAGCGTGTGCAAAATAAAAAGAACAAGGGCCAAGCATGTGCAAAATAAAAAGAACAAGGGCCTAGCGTGTGAAAAATAAAAAGAACAAGGGCCTAGCATGTGCAAAATTGCAAGAACAAGGGTCTAGCCTGTGCAAAAAAGCAAGAACAAGGGCCTAGCTAGTGCAAAATAGCAAGAGCAATGGCCTAGCGTGTGCAAAAAAGCAAGAACAAAGACCTAGCGTTGGCGAAATAGCAAGAACAAGGGCCTAGCGTGTGCAAAATTGCAAGAACAAGGGTCTAGCGTGTGCAAAATTGCAAGAACAAGGGCCTAGCGAGTGCAAAATAGCAAGAGCAAGAGCCTAGTGTGTGCAAAAAATCAAGAACAAAGGTCTAGCGTTCGCGAAATAGCAAGAACAAGCACCTAGCGTGTGCAAAATAAAAAGAACAGGGGTCTAGCATGTGCAAAATTGCAAGAACAAGGGCCTAGCGTGTGCAAAATAAAAAGAACAAGGGCCTAGCGTGTGAAAAATAAAAAGAACAAGGGCCTAGCGTGTTGGGTTGCTGTGCAGTCTGCATTGGTGCCAATTGAGTGTCATCAGCTGGGTCTCGTGTCTCCTGCGCATTGCGGTCAAGTGAGGGTCCTGGATCGGGCTGCTGCCCGGTCTGCACTGGCTGTCCTCGACCTAACTGTGTGCTCTGAGGCTGCTCTCTCTGCGTGCTTCTCGACTGGCCCCTCTCTACCGTATGTTCCCTCTGCTGTGCCTGCCCTGGTGCTCTCTGTGGTGCACTCCCGTTCGCGTGCACTGCTGGCCTTTCGTACTGTGGGGGGTGTTGGGGTGCCATGCGGAGAGCATAGTGCTGCTGCCAAGGTGCCTGTAAAGCTGTGTGAGCTGTGTCAGTGCGGCGTTGCCTAGACCGGTTTACCTTCAACCCACGCATAGCTACCTTCACCGCCGCAGCAGTCGCAATGGCTGCCGCGGATGGCTGCGAGGTCCTCACTGCCGCCTGCAGGCCCCTTCCCCGCTGTCTGCCCTCCGCTTGTCTCGGAAGTGTTGCAGCAGAGATCGTCGCTGGTGCCGGTTGTGCTGCTACTCCGGCTGCTCCCGATGGCGTAGCTGTGTTTGCTGCCCCTGGTGTTGCTGCTACTGGTGCTGGCGCTGGCTGTGTAGTGGCACTGGTTGAAGCTATTGCTGCCGTTGGTCCTGTTGCTCCTTGCACTTTTGTTGCAATGGCTGCTGGTCCTGTTGTCGTCACAGCAACTGTTGCCGGTGCAACTGTTGTTGCCATTTCGGTCACCCCCCCGGCTTGTCTCTCGCCTCCTCCCAGTCCCTCTGCTGATGTTGCTGCTGCTGGAGTAGCCACTGTCCCCCCTACGGTCTTCCCTGCCTGAGGGGCCGATGCTGCTGTGGGTTGCTGTGAGGTGGTTCCGTTTCGTGCCTTGTTTCTCTTCGCCTCTTTACGGCGTTGAGCCCTGCTCTTTCCCGCTGCCTTCCCGTGCTCTACCGCAGTCCCGCTCCTAGGCTGCCGCTGCTCCAGGGCCTCTACCCGTTGCTGTAGGGGGCCAACCAGAGTTTTTACCAGCCCAATCAGGTCAGTAGAAGGGTTAGCTTGAATCTCCTCCCTCAGTGCCTGTTCAGCCCGTACTTTCTCCCGCTTAGCTGCCCCCCTTGCCCTTGATTTGCGGCTGCCCTTGATCCACACAGCATGGTACATCAGCTCTCGTGCCATGCCCCGTGCCATGTAGTCAACAGCCAGCTCCTTGAGGTGAGCATCGGGTGCAGGGGTATCAGGTGTTGCATGTGTCTCGAAAAGGTGGAGGCTTTTCTCCAGGAAGCTCTCGAAGCGAGAGTATGTCCGTGCCGTCCATACCTCCGCTGCTCCCTCCCAGTGAGCCTTCTCCTTTTCTTTGTACCCCATCAGAGTCAGGTGAGCTTTTGTTTTGAAGGTTTTCAGCTCATTGTCTAGGGCCTGGTTCAGCTTCTCTTGCAGGGTAGGGTCGGTTAGCTGTAGCGTGGGGGCTGTAATCCGGAGAGCGTGGGAAACCTCCCCATCCCTGAACTGCTGCTGAAGTTCGCATAGGCCGTTCGATACCTTGCTGAAGGTGCGAAGGCAGCTCTTGAAGGAGGCTAGCTCCTTCTCGAGCGCCTTGCGTAAAAGCTCGGGTATGGTCTTGAAGGGCGAGGAAGCTGGGGGCTCTGGTGGTGCTTTGTTGAGTAGCATTGACTGCATGTCTTCGAAGAAACGGTGCCAAACAGCAGGGAGATCTTCGGCTTCCTGCAGCCCGTATGCCGCTTCCAAACCCTTCATGCCGAGCTGCTCACCCCGCATAAGAGCTGCTGCTGCCTTGCCAATTTCTCTCTTTGTCAGCTTCACACTCTCTGGGGCTGCGTCTTCCTGGCTCTTTGGGCTTATAGGCTCCTCGGGATGCTCTGCTTCGTCCTCTCCTCCGCATGGGTCAAACTCCACAGGGCAGTAGAGGATGTGGGTCCTGTCCCTGTAAGGTCCTTCATCCTTGGCCCATTCGCTGCTGCTGCTATCGTTTGGCTGTTGTTGTGCTTGTGGTGCGGCTTCTGCCGCGTTAGCCTGTACCGGCAAAGGTGGTGTGGGGCTGCCCGGGTGGCTCTGTCCTTGCTGCAGCACGGTGGTGGGTGGCGCGATGGGTGCTGTTCCGTTGGGGGGTAACTCACCAGTGCCCTCGCAAGTTCGTGGGAGATTGCTTAGGCGGTTGCTTGTGACAACCAAGGGTTCTCCCAGCCTCATTGCTGCCAGCTCAGAGATCCCTGCCGTTGCTCGTCTCGTGTCACCAGCTTCTTCCGTAGGCTGTCTTGCCCTCTGCATTGCCTCGGCTGCCCTGGTTCCTGCTCCCTCATTCAGTTCCACCTGCTCCTTGCCGATGCTTACTGCTGCTGGGGTAGCTATAGCGGCTGCATCTGCATCTGTCCTGGCCGGCCCTCTCCCGTCCTCTTCCTCCCTAGCAGCTAGTGTCGTTGCTGCGGTGGGCTGCTGCTCACATTGCCCCTCAGCTGCCGTGTACGCCTCTGTCCCTGCTCCCCTCATGCCGTTGGGCCCGGCACCCTGTATGAAGAGGCTGCTGGTGCTACCCACCTGTAACATGCCTGGCATTGGGCTGGCTTGTGCTGCCGGTGAGTTCAGACTTGGTTGTGGGGCGGTGGGAATAGGAATAGGAGCCGGTGAATCCAGGCCCGTGATCCCTGGATTTGGGGTGAGGGGTGGGTTGGTGTGTGAAGGGAGTACCGGTGCTGCATCTGTCACCACCAGTGTCATTTCTGCGTCACCCGCTGTTGTTATCCCTGCCGTGTTGCCCGTTGCTCCGGCAGTTGCTGCTGTCACCCATGCTGCTGGCGTCACTGCTGTGTGAGTTGCTGTAGGTGTCACTGCTGCATTGACTGTCGCTGCTGTGTCCGTTGTACCTACTGTTGCTGGTGCGGCTAATGCCTGAGGTGCACGGGGAGCCGCTGCTGTTGCTGCTGGTACCGTTGCTGCCTTATCCGTGACCGGTGTTCCTGCTGTGTTGCCTGCTGCTGGAGTAGTAGCTGTTGCCCCATCTCCAGCTGCTGCCCGTGTCAGTGCTGTACGATATAGTGCGTGCCACGGGGGGGATCCCGGCGGGGAAATTGTGCGGAGCAT